TGATGCAAAATTTTAAACCGTTTCCGAGTTATGACGTTTTTGGGCATTCAGGCCCTTGAAAAGGGGCGAAATCCTACTCCGCCCTTTGATGCGCTTGGGGCAAAAAATAGGACGAGAAATGCTCTTTCAGAAAGGTTCTTGAAAGAAATGTGATATTTTGACTCGTTTATGAGATATTGGGTGTTTTAAGCTTTGACAACTCAATAGTTGGGATTTTTGCGTCTACCTCTTTAAAGGTTAGGAATTTTTGAGTAAACGCAATGAATCAAAAATAGCTGTAAAGTTGTCCTACTGAAAAGGCTCAGACGACTAATTGGGTATGTTGGACGGTTTATTGGATACCGGTTGTTTTATGCTTGGAAAATGTCACATGTTGACATTTTTGCTTCTATTTTTTCACAGGTTAGAATTTTTTCGTTAATGTAACAGGGACAGGATGCGGCGAAAGACCAGCTATCGAAAAGGCTGGAGCAAATGATGGAAAATTTTTAACCGTTTCCCAGTTATGACGTTTTTCGACATTCAGGCCCTTGAAAAGGGGCGAAGTGCCACTGCAATCTTCGATTCGCTTAGGGCCAAATTTAGGGAAAGAAATGTTCTTTCAGAAAGGAGCTTGCAAGAATTGTGATATTTTGAACTGTTTCTGAGATATTGGGCCTTTTAGGCTATGAGGGCCGCAAAATGTCAACACTTTTCCTTCCATCCTTTTAAAGGTTAGGAATTCCTAAGAAACCTAACCAGCAAATAAAGGTGCGTGACGACACAGACTACCGAAAGGGCCTTTACGCCTGATGCGATATTTCAAACCGTTTCGGAGATTAGCCAGTTTCCAACCTTCACACACAAGTTGATTTACTTGATTAGTCACTCAGGCTAGCAGAGCCAAAGGCACATACCTCTTTGGCTCACCGTGTATACCAGAAGCTTATCAGCTGAAAATCCACACATATGTCTTGCTTGGCGTGAGCTCGTGTTAATTACGGGTTATTGAGACACCTCATTTAGTTAAATCGACTAAATTATGTGATCTGTCTGGAGTCTGGATGGCTGCAGGTGTCTGGCAATTACTGCCGCATGTCTATATGATAATTATCGGCACTAATGGGGCGAGTGATCCAGCCCTGAGCAGCAGCAGGGATTTGAGCCTGAGCTCCATCTAAGCTCCTCATAAGCGATTAATGGGATTTACGTTTTGTTTTCCAGAAATATCCAGCAGCATGAGCTTAAGAGCGATGCACCTGAACGTGCCGAGGGCCGTACGAGTTGGACACTCTGTAACATTGGGATGCCAATACGATCTGGAAGGAGCTGCTTTGTACTCAGTGAAATGGTATCGGGATCAAGTGGAGTTTTACCGATTTGTGCCAAAAGAAGAGCCTCCGATCCGCGTGTTTCCAATCGATGGCATCCGAGTCGATGTAAGTAGTCGCTCAAAATAAAAAAAATAAAAAATGTTTGCATGATAACTCACTTCTCTGGCCGCTCTCACACCGTCGTAAAGCATGATTTAGGGTCCAAACGGTTTTTCATGTTTGGAAATAAAACTGAAATATCGTCTGCTGTTTAATGACGCCGAAATATGACGTTGTTTTACGGCGCTCCAGTCGATAAATCGCCGCCCGATGCCACTGGAATAGATTAATTAGTCGCTAAATATCGACAAGAAGAGGTGGCAAGCAGTGGAGGGCTTTTTATCGGCCTGGAAACGATTGTTCCGAAGCAATTTTCGGAACTATTCACCTAATGAAGACACCGTTTCCTTCAGCGGCAGACAAAAGGAAATTAAGGCGACAGCGACTCATCCTTTGACGACTCAATTTATCTGCTCGGTTTACTTTCGCAATCGCGTTTATCCATTTGGTGCCAAAACACTTCAAAAGGAAAAGAGAGCGATTAATTCATTTGCCCTTTATGCATGCGGACTAAGCCGGGGTAACACTGAGTTGAGTTGCGTTTTTGAGTTGGTGTCGCCCTCTGAGTTGATGAGTTATAACTCATTTA